TGAACGAGAGAAATTCACGGTGGCAGACGACAGTCGCCTGATAGCCTGCCACGGCCTTGTTCTGTCACCGAAAAGTAGTGTACACATTCTGGTCGAAGAGGGGGGGTAGGAAACGCATTGCGCGGAACCGAGCAGACGAGATGAGTTTGTTTTAACAGACATGCATATATCCTGTTAAAAGGTGCGTCAACAGGGACAGTCGCGTTCTCCAGCCTAGCGTGATTGTCTTGGGCGCGCCAGCAACACGGGCAAACAGTGTGCGGCAAATAACTTGCGCCAACAAGATTGTTCGTACCTCCGGGACTTTGGGACGGGTGCACTGCTTTTGCCTCTCTGCTTATCTGAAAAGCACACCGCTTTCAACGTTGACCCTTTCCTTTCGTGCGCTCCTCATGCTACCGCGTCTGTTTGATCGCGTTCTCCCGCGCGGTGACCCGTGACCTGCACCCCCTGTGCGACCAGCCAGGCATAAGCGTTCGCCCCGCCTCAGCTGTTTCAAAGTTCACCTCAGCCTCACCCCGCTGCGTCATCAGAAGTGTCCTGGAGCTGGAGGCAGCAGGCCACCTCCAGCCAGCCTCCAGCCAGCCTCCAGCCGCGCGGCCTCCACCGCCAGGGCCATCACCGCCACCGCTCGCACTCGTCGGCGCCGGGAGCGAGGGACGCGGTTAAAACGATGAATGAATGTGTAAAGGGAGTTGACGTGGTGGAAGAGAAGGATATCACGGCTGCTCCGGTGGGCGGCGTGGGGCCTGCTGGACCAGGAGGCTGGCGTCTCATGAACTAACCCGTCTCTCTCCCTCACCCTCGTCTTCCCCAGGGTGAGGTCGGTTAATAAAAGCACATGCCACACGCCTCTCTTCCAACCGAAGTGACGTATCTGAGGATCAATGAGGAGCTCGCCCTCGTCAAGGAGATGGGACCTTTACTTTTTGAACGCAGACTCTTCACCTCTCACACTTCCCTCCCATCCCTGTCCCTGCCTCCGGGCTTGCGCTGCCGCCGTGCCTCCACGTGCGGTTCCGAACGGTCCCGAAGCCCGAGCCGAGGGCCGCGCGCGCTCGGAAAGGAACCGTATTTCAAATCAGCCAACGGCGCTACAATTCCGGCCCGCCGTGGTTCCCCTTTCGCCGCCTCCACCCACTCTCCTCCCACAAGCTCTCCCCAAAGCCGAAAGCCACGACGGCCCCGGGGGAGAATAAAATACGCGAACGGAACGTCGCCTTCTCGCCTTCTCAAACACAGCCCGGACCCGGGCAGAGCCCACCTCCCTGCCCCTCACACCGCTCCTGCTCCCGGAGAGGATGGGGAAGGGGGTAATATCCGGCCGCCTAGTTCCCCTCTGGGTCCCCTCTAGGTTCCCCTTGATCGCCTTTGCGAAAACACCGGTGGAGTTGGAGGAGCACTGCTTTACCTCTGGCT